TCAGAGGCTGTCGCGCTCCACCACGCGTCCCCCCCATAGGTCAAACCCAGCCGCGTGGCCGCCGGTTTGGATTTTCCTAACAGAATCTTTGGCACAGGTTCCGTCTTTTATTGTCTTAAAAGATGATTAGGAAGTAGATCCCCCTCCACCCCCCCCGGTTACGTATTCTAGTATAAATTTAAGTCTTTTATGGCAAATATCTTACTTTTCGAGTATGATTGCATGCTGGAAAAACTGTACTTGGTCTGCATGCAGCAAGAGACGTCACGCTTCTGGCATCGTCATGCACGTCTGACAGACAAGAAGTGCCTATGGCTGCGAACATTAACGAGGCAGAAGGGGAAAAAAAAAAGGAAACTGCACTGCCTACTATTTTACATGCTGTAACAAAAGCAAAATATGCACAAAAATATTTACTGATATTTGCATTAATATCTTCTGGTAAATCGCAAGAGTAAATATCAAAATTTTTTATCTAAGTGATAGGAGAGGAGAAGATTGCATTAATTACAGTGTTCATCATTGCAAAGAAAGTCTATTTCCTTCTCTGTAAGTAATAAGCAGATGTGAAATGAAAGCCTAATCGAACCTCGTATAAAACCAGCAGGTAGTGATTTCTGTTGAAAAGTAGATCTGCTTTTAAAAAAAGAGATTATACCCTAAGCCGTTAACAATATCCAAAACCTAAAGTAAAAACCAAAACAGCAGCAATAAAATTTACCTAAATCTAAATGTCATTCAGAACAAGAACCTTCACAAACAAAGCACAATTTGTTTTATAAAATTTTATAATACTCTTTATGCTTGATATGATTATGTCAGTAATATAGATCTGCTTATTATTAACCCTTATTATTAAGAGTTATCACTAAACATGCAAAATTCATTGCATGAAGCATATGTAAAATGCATTAAATTCCATTCTATCAGTAAAACAAGTTTTAGGTGCTGCTTCTTTCAGGCTTGATTATTTTACAGCCCAAAGTTTTCTGAATTAAAACTGATTATTTTAAGACTAAATCTCACATGGTTTTCATGAGTTATTCTGGAGAAATCAAGAAGTCAGCTGGGGCTGCATTTTTTGTTAATTTAGTATACATAATGCTTTCTTTGATTTACTGCCCTATACTGCAGTCTATAAACAAACACATGTAAGTAAAATATAAGGGATTACAGTTTCGTTTTACATTCCAGGTTAACAAATTTAATAGTAAAATATTGGTATTAGAACCGGTTAACAGTAAACTCGAGGAGTGGTGTGAATTAAATTAACTGAACAAACAATGGCACCCTGGATCACAGAATAATCTCATGGAGATTAAAATTCACAAAAATATTATTACAATTATTACTATTATTATTATTATTATTAAAGACAAAATTTCACCCTTGAGTTTATCACATGCTACTTAGCAAAGATCCTAGAGATCTGGCCACCGCTGAAGTGTGTTTAAACTCGGTGTTGCTTACGGGGTCGGTTCACAAAGCCTCAGGGTCTAATTTGATTTTGTCCCCCCTGCCACGCACTCCCAACTCATTTCTGTCATATTTTTGGAACAACTACTTCCAGCAATTTTTTTGCAATGCCTCTCCTCCCTGGTGCCGCTGCCGTTTCAGTCTCTTGCGCTGCTGATCTCCCCGAAGTCACTGGGAGGAGCGGGAGGAGTGGTCCCTCGGGGCCGAGGGCTCCCATCTCCCGGCATCCGCACCGAAGGACTAAATATTCAAGGTGGGTTGTTTTTTTTTTTCAGAGCATGTGTTAGTTTATTTCTAACACAGGAGCAAAAGGACAGTGGGAAGTTACAAAATATATAACGTACCAAAAAATGGGTAAGTTTAGCCAAGTCAGTGGTGACTTCCAGCAGAATAAGTGGGCACCATATACTAATTTATCTCCCATTAAGACAACCTTGCCGTTGCAAAGCCAAAACCCTGAATAAGTGGCCTTTCCCCCATCTTACACTTGCTAACCCTACAATTTCCAGGCAAAATGGAATCAGTACAGCAAAAGCCTAAAAATTGTAGGGTTAAGGACCGTTCCCCACTGTGGGCTTTGTTCCTGTTCTGCTGATTCATGCTACATTTTGTAAAAGGGGGTGTACGAACTGGGGGTTGACGTAAGAGAACCCTTCAAAATCTGTTTGGTCGATGTTAGCAATGACCAGCTGATCCGGAGGTGTTAACACCGGCTGTCCTCGTGTAAAGAACTTGTCAAAGTTTTCGGCACCTTTGCCACACTGCAAGAAAAAAAGAAAAACAGAAAAGGCTGAAAAAATCTGCAATACACTGGCAGTTCCAGATTTTGCAGGATACATGCAAGACTTTCCCTCATTTCTTATAAGCAGTTAAGAGAAAATTTGCTCTTCTGGTATTTTAACAAAAAAATCCCAGGCAAACAGAGTAGTTTTAACAGATGAATTTTGATGAAAAACAAGAGTCAGAAATGTTTCCATCCATCAGCATCAGGTGACAAGGTAAACAAGCTTGAATATTCAGAATAACTGGGATAAAAAAGGAAAAAGAAAATATTGTTATGCACTTGTAATGTCAAGAGATACTTCATCTGTCAAGTCGTTTCGTTCTTCTTAAAACCTTTATGATGCAAAATTAAATTTTCATGTTAGTCTCTGTTTCCTTCACAATCTGTAGAAAGCTTAATGTAATTAATTTATATCCTTTGATTCTTCATTGCACAGCCTATAAACCCTTGTACATCCATAAACGAGAGCAGAGCTCCCGTCCTGGGGACGGCAGGAGGGAGCTGGGGCAGGGAGCACATCCTGGGAACAGGTTTCCTCCTTTTTTTGTCTAAGAGGCACGTCATCTCGCGAAGCCCAGCCGAGAAGGGGGGTTATATCTAGCTATGCGCTCAACACAACTCACTCAGAACAGAAAACGAATCAGGTTTGCAAAAAGGATAGTTTTGAATAATGCAGAAAACAGTTGAAAGGCAGGGCAGTGTGGTTAGAGGCAAGTTAAAAAGGATGAAGGTGGGACCAGAACAAATTAGCTTGGGTGCAAGAAAAAATGCGTATTTGAGGAAAACTAGGCATTGAATGTTGTGGAGAGGTCTAAAGCAAACTGGTAAATCTGCTTATCTCAAAACTTATGTACTGTAACAGAGCTTCAAACAAAGCCTGGTTGTACGATAAAGGCACTGAACGTTTCTTCCTGTTGTCCCTGACCCTCTCCCTCTGTCCAGCCCTACAGGATAGCTGCACTGCCCAGTACTTCCTTAGGGAATGTATCTACACTTGGATTTTGAGGGTGACATTACACTGTTATCTTCAGGCTCAGACGGTAACTTGGAAAGGGTATAAGATGGCTCGTACAACAGAGCAGTATTAAATATTGTTTTTTCTGAACTAATGTAACATGAGTAAAGCTGGGCATTTATAGAAGACACCAGCTGAAGAGGGGCCCGTTAAGGGAATTCAGAGGGGAAGTGTTTGGCCATCTTGAAAACAGCTCAGCCGCCGTTTCCAATCTCCCTGCAAAGCATCTGGCACGTCCTGGTCTGGGACACGCCGTCCGATCTGAGCTGCAAAGAACTTGTGCTGCCTCAGGCACAAGTTGGTTTCTATTCCAGATGAAAAGCACATGTTCAGGTACTGGACTGCAGTGCTCACAGAAGGACACTTGGTCAGTCTTGGAAGAACACAAGCAGAGGGACACTTCAACACGTTAAAGGCTACTATTAAGTAGTCGCTTCTTCCACTTGGGGGTCTGCACTCACCGAATACCCTGGTGCCCATTGAAGCCAATGCATTTTGGTACAGAATCTCTGGAGAACAAGAATGGACGGAGCAGAACTTTGACAAGGGGAGAACTCTCCATTATTGGAATGAAAGTTGATGCACCCCCAAATTAAAGTCAAATTTATTTAGAGGCAGTACAGCCAGCTCACAGCAGCAATAGAAGGGCTATTTATACAGGGAAGACTTTTTGCTAAAAACATGTTCTATAGATATGTATCATCCTTCCACAAAATTATGCTCTGTCTTATTTCTTTTATTTTTCTTTTTTCCTTCTTTTTCCAGTAAGCAGAAGGTATTCAAACAAGCTGTATATTGAAACCAGAGTCCTGGACTCCATTAGGTGTCTATTGCTTGTACTAGTAGAGGCTAAGAAATAACTCATGTGAAACTGGGGTATTTTTTGGGTGCAGATATAATAATTTATCAATAAATCTGCATCTTCAATTATGTATTTGCCTTAACATCAAAGAGTAGCACTGCTATTGTGAGCATTAATGCAATATTAAAGCAGAACTAAAATACGATACTCCTAGAATTCCTTAACTTACAAATACGAGTAAAATGTCCTTCTTGCCAAATAATCAGTCTATGCCTCATAGCCTGCGAAATGTCAATCTGGAAGGGAACACGTTCTTTAAAGGGACCAACTGCTGACCCAGTATCTGCGGCTCTGTGTTGGAGTGAGAACCATGCCTATGTGCAAAAGCAGGACAATTTCCTGCAGCAATGCGCTTCCTAGAGAAGATGCACCTAGAAAGGTTTTCTGAAAAAAACCCACCCCAAACAAAGCCTATAAATATGTCCACATCTGCAAACAGATTAAGGAATATGTGTTTTTTTCTTTCTAGAATCCATATAAATAGAAAAAGCAATCACAATAAATGAGTTATAGGGTATGTAAATATCAGACTTGGGTTTTAAATTATTTTCATCTGGGAACGCTAGGCTCCATGTGAATACGCCTTGGTGTATTTTAATAGTAGCCAGTATAAACAAAACAGGTCATGATAACCTTGGAGACAGAGCACAGCTGCTCTCAACAGGAGCCAGGATCTGCCACGAAATGTGCTACGATGGAACCAGACCATACTTCAAGCCTTTAGTACTGTTACTTTTAACTTCAAGGAGAGTCTAAGCACTCAGCTCCTAAGCTAATAAAAAGTACAAATGTGAAGGTAGATTTGCTTTACGATCAGCTTTAAATTTGACTCAAGAAGCATGTAATGAAAATTTTCCATAAAACATGCTTTAACGAGGCACAGCTCCCCTTTGGACAGACAGCCCTGGGGAGGGCTGGGCAGTGTTGGCAGCACCATGCGTGTTCTTTAACTATCTACACTCTTCCCTGCGTGCAAAATCCACACTGTATATAAAGGGTGATTCCCCCTAGCACAAAAGACTCTTCTTGGCATGCAGCTCTCCTCCTATTGATATGAAAAGTCATCTGTATGCAAAAAAAGAGGAATATATTCTGCCACCGGGTACTGGCTTCCCTCTGTTCATCAGTTTGTGATACCAAACCAACGCATCTACATTGGTAAATACATCAGTGTACAGACCAGTGATCCTATAGCTGCAGTGCTACAGCCAGCTACGCATCTCACCGAAACAAAAAAAGTGTTAGAGAAGGAAGATTCAATGTTAGGACATAACAATTTACAGCTGCTCCTGAAAGCCTGTATTCTTGCGTGCAAATACTTTTCTTTGCCTGTCAATAAAGCACAGTACATGCTGAAAGAAATTCTATTTCAACAAATACAGCTCTTCAAATTCTCTTATGCAAACAGTTCTCACAGTAAGGACTTCTTTCACTTGTTTGGATTTCTAAAATATTCCTACAGATACATGTGTGCAAACCAGTAACAAACTTAAAAAGAAATCGGGGATTATTTTTGCGAACTCAACAGACATCATTTTCTTTGCCTGTCAATAAAGCACAGTACATGCTGAAAGAAATTCCATTTCAACAAATACAGCTCTTCAAATTCTCTTATGCAAACAGTTCTCACAGTAAGGACTTCTTTCACTTGTTTGGATTTCTAAAATATTCCTACAGATACATGTGTGCAAACCAGTAACAAACCTTAAAAGGAAATCGGGGATTATTTTTGCGAATTCAGCAGACATCACTCTAGAACGGGGAATACAACCCCCCCGTGCTGTGTAGCCCACTGTGAAGAAATTTAGCCCAGTAATTCAGATAGATACCTTTAATCATTGACTTTAGACGCTGTTCAGAGGAGACAGTCGGGAACTGCATTTATTACAGGTCTCCAGGGGCTGATGTGAATATGCCAATTTTCCCTGTTTTCAACTTCTCATGCAGTGCATGACCATCAGTCAGGACTCAAATCATCGGGAGACATTTTTGCAAGGAACAAAGTACACTGGGTTATGTTACAGGGTGCCAAAACATTAGCAGATTTACAGACTGGTCTGCTGTAATCAAATTGCCTTATTTTAGAAGTGTCCCAGATTTGCAGCACCATCAAGCCAGCATTAATCTCACCCCACGGGAAGGCATGACTGCAGACACATTTAGCGAGGGAAGTACTTGGCATCTCACTCACCACTTTAGGTTTGAAAGGTGGCTGAATCTCTCTGTTTTCCAGTTTTTCCCAGTCAATTCTCCTGAAGAAAGCATGTTCCCTGATGTCTCTTTCACCTTCAAGGCCACAGCCAAGGCGTTTTGCAGGATGTTTAGTCATTAGCTGTTAGGAAGAGAACACCAAATGATTACATTTAACGCTGGAATGAAAGTGGGACAGATTTTCCCCAGATTGTGATGCTCTTGCTCCCCTCCTGAAGATGCAAGTTGCTAATAAAATTGTTTTGAAAAGCTAAAATTAATTTTTTGAGGATTAGTTTTTTCGTGTTTGACCACTGGAGACAGCACATCAGCAGCAAAATCAAGGGCTGCACTTGAGAGCTTCTCCCCATTCGGCAGAGGCTGGCACTGGAGGTGCCTGGGGCGCAAGGCCATCCTATTAGTTCACAACTCACTCCTGAATTTCGCCTTTGGTCTTTCAGTTCAGTCTTATAAATCTCCAGAACAGCTTCTGCCCTACCTCAATAATCAATTAAACTTAATAAATTCCAATATACTAAAGCTGTATAAAGTACACCCCCCCTTTTCATTTTTCTGGGCTTGTTCACGCCATCTCATTACAGAGCCTACAATTTCTTGGCACCCAGCTGACAATATCTAATCTGTGTTTCCTCCCTTGCATTCTTAATGACATCTTGGTCAATACTATACCCAGCTGCAGAGATTAAGCAGACTTGGGAAAAAAACAAACCAACAAACCCACCAGCATTGCATGCTTGGAAACAGTAATATGCCCCTAATTAACTAGCTCCTCAAAATCTTTTCAATTGATACGTACATTAGGAATTGAGCAACGTAGCCTTCAACTCTCAGTTCCAATACTGTGGGGACTTTTTAAAGCTCTTTTGCAAATTATATGTGATTAATATACTGCTGGGAGCGACACCCCAACACATCTTTTTAAAACCTCAGCTGCTCTGCTTTAGTCTCCCTCCAAATGTTGAGTTGATCAGATTCCAGTTCTGAACCTAAAATAAAAGCGACTCTAAGCAGACTTTGGGAAGTCGGTTGGGCACTGGGCTAGTGATCACATCCTGCTGCAAGCTTAACAGCAACCTTCCCATTTTTGTTACCTTTTCTAAACCCCTTGCTTTAGCAGGAGGTGATATAAGCAAATGTGAATGATGATTCTCGCAGTTTTAATTCTGTTCCAAAGTTACTGCATTTACGAAACGCAACGAACTCAGAATCAGAGGAATAGATGTCAAGCAGACGATTCAAGTCAAAAGCAGAGCGTGCACATTCATCTTGCTTGACAGTGCACAGTCCCAGGATTGCAGAGCTCCTGCTGACCACAAGGTTCAGAAGCCTTCTCATATTGACTTCTTAGCTCAGGTATAATGCTCACTGAAATCTGGAATTAATTTACTAGTTTAATACAGATGATGAACACATTATCACAGAGACTTGACCTTAAACCTTGGGGTGCAATGCCACCCTGGCCTCCCTTTGCATAAGCACCTAGCGGAACAGCAGCAAGCAGGAGAGCTGAAAACATGGTAATTAGATCAAGTTCAAACCACGTTGTCTGAATATATGATTTTCATGACAAGGCATCAATCTGCATGTACTTTACAAAAATTTATGTTTTGTTTTTGTTGGCCAGCATGTCTACACCGGGACAGACTCCAAAATTAGAGTGGTCCTTCCTTTCACCTTGCTGTTCTAAACAGCTTTTCTTTTTCTTGATGATTTTTCCTTACGGGATTAATATCCAGCTCATGTACAATATTTCATTAGTGGTTACAAAGGAAAGAAAGAAAGTAAACACCAAATTAACTGACACTAAGTGCAGCGTTATTTTATCAGTGTAAGAAAGACATCAAATAATGCTTTATAGATGGTGGTTTGGAAAAGCCACAGACTGACAGTACTCCAGGGAATCACACGGAGTCACAGGAAAGTCAAATGAATTTTTTTTTCCTGAGCTAATCCTCTGAAGTCAAATCTATTCTTTTCCTATTAAAAAAAAAACCCAAAATTTAGAATCCAAGATAAATTTTAAGCCACACAGATTACCACTGGGTCAGGATTTTCTGGTCCAGTTTCCTGGCATTTACGCTGAAGATTTTCACATAAGCTCATCTTTACCTACATTTAAAAATGATTTTTATTAACTCTTCTGCTCTGCTGCTGTCATTGGGCATACTGGGCTGAGGACTCGCTGGAGTATCTGGTACCCATCCAAGCTGAGAAATCTCCTCACCCTGCAAAATTGGGGTTGTGCTGTTGAGGGTGGAGAGACAAGGTGGGTGGAGACATTTCACACCATAGTCCCATTTATAAATTCTGCTTTAGATTTGGCAGTTGCTGATTCTGACATTTGTCCTTACCACGAAACAAGCAGGCATAGCGGGAAGAGCCGAGTACTTATCAGTGACACCAAGCGATGAGCGCTTCATGACAACATAGCTTAGCGCAGCCTGACAGAAGCTGCACTTAAAAATATTACAGTGCCATGTCAAAGCCAGACAAATTTAGTTATTCACAAGGATTACCAAAAAGGAACTTAATGATAAAGAAGCATCTATCTCACCCCCTTGCAGATGGAGACAGCTTCTTTGGACAGTGATTTTGGATAGGAAACATTATGCTCCATTATAGACTGGAAAAGTTCATCTTCATCTTCTCCATCAAACGGAGGCTGTTGAAAATAAATCACAGCTACGTTACCTACTGTGTTTCGGATTTGTAAAAAATTCGCCACTTTTTATGAAACGGCATGACAATCCTATGGCCACACTGGCTCAGGTCAAAGGCGCATCCAGCCCAGCAACCCGTCTGCAGTCAGTCGCAGATGCCCAGAGAGATCCGTATACAGCAGTGCTCCTTGCCCAGGAACCCACACCAAACTCCCTGCCATCTGCAGCTCGGGCTCTTCTGCCCCAGAAGCTCAGCGTTCATCACTCCGGTAGAAACCAAGGAGAAAAGTGCATTTCTGCCCCCAGCATAGCTGCCGGGTTAATGAGACGTGTGCAGGGTTACCTTCCTGATCACCTTTTAAAGCTACTGTGTGCCAGACAGATGAAATGTTTTAAACGGTGAAGTCTGGAGACTGTGACTTTCAATTACCTTGTGTTAAGGTATATCCATTCCTCACTTAATTCCAGTTAAACTCCAGTTTGTTTTATATGACATGGCTTCAGACTCTGCTTCTGTGAAGGGGAGACTGTATCACAAGCAAGGGCTGCATATTATTTTTAAACATAGGTGGTGAGGAAAGTGCCTGCGGGTGAGTCCCCAGGATACAGGCACTGTGCAAGGCTCAGCGAATGGCAAATCTCATTTTCTCAAAAGCATTCAGATGCCTAATATTTGCAATGCAGACTGTAAATGTTAACAACCGCGATTGCCACACTTTAAAAACTTCTAAAATGTCAACTGGAATTTAGTAGAGAAACTATTAAAGGCATTTGTTAAAAATGTATGTTTTAAGCTTAGGAAATGTGTGCCTTTAGCTAACGCTCATTGAAAGCCACTTGCACAATCTTTTCAGAACTAATAGAATTCCTTAAAGTTGGTACTTATCTGCCATTTACTGCAGTACAGTGTTGCTTTTCTACTTGAGCGACTCAGAGAACAGTATCTCACTCACTGCGCAGAATAAGGGGTCTGTAACTGAGCGCGTTTCAAGTGGCGAGACCCATACTTTACCCCTAGGACATACAGTACGAAAACCGTATTCTGGTGACTTAACTGCAATGCAGAGTATGTACACGCCCCTGTTGAGTCTCCCTGTGGTTTCAAACTACTAAATGATATTTCTTCCATTTGACATGCTTTTTCCTGCTCAAGTGTCTCCCATTCGATTTTGAAGGTGGCTGTTTATAACATTATTACACTACAAAGAAGCCGTATTCAAAGGCAGCGCTTGATTATGTGGGGGCAACATACAGAGCTTGAAGCCTAAATCCATTCTCAGTGGAGTCAGTCAAGAGTACAAGGAGGTAGTATCAGTATGAAAGGCCCCAGTCCTGTCCCCTGAGGGTCTAACCCTTTAGGGAGCCTTGAGACAGAGCAGTGTTGGAGAGGCAGGAGGAGGTCACAGCGAGCACGGGAGGGGGACTCTTACCTGGCCAGCTAACATCTCATAGAGCAGCACTCCGTACGCCCACCAATCCACAGACTTCCCATAGGGCTGGTATGCAATAATCTGTATAATCGCAAAGAAAGCCAATGAAAAAACCCCGATGTTAACTAGCACCCAGTCTAGTGACGTATTAGATAAACACTGACATGCAGAGATGAACATATTTCCTTGAAAAAGCCCAGAAAGCCAATCCTGTAATCCTCACTCTAGCTACTCACTGGTTTCAGTGGGAGTTGGACTGTTCTGCAAATGTTAAGTCTAAACCTGCCCGTGTCTTTTGGTACTCTGATATCTCGGGAAATGCGGCTCTTAGGAGACCTTGGGATGTGCACTTGAAGGCAAAGGAGGAAGTAGAGCGGCACAAGGTAGGAGACAAGGCAAAAATGTTATCCATCCATTTGTGTCAAAGACTGAAATCATGAGACTCGCGTAACTTACAGGTTATCAATAATTAAGCCTTTCTTTTCTTTTCAGTATTTACATTTTTGTTCTGTTGCAAAAGGAATCAACATTTAAGAAAAGAGCAAATCCCTGAAAAGCTCAGTTACATTTTCCCAGGTTGCGTGATTAAGATACTCTTACTGTGAAGCTAGATACCAGCTACGCCAAAGAGAAAGGGGTTTCTGCCGTTCAGCCCAACGGAAATGTCAAGTATTTTGCATCCTCTGGGTTCACATCTGACTCACACAGAAGCACAAACTGAGTCCTGACACGACGAAAGGCTGCAAGTGCCAACAGCACGCAGGTCCCCTCGTGCGTCATTTTCTTTAATCGAGGCCTCTTCAGAGATCAGTGTTAATTTATTTAAGAGATGCATTTGGGCATGCTATAGCGGAGTTTTGAGGTGGAGACGTGCTCTCTCCCTCAGATCTCCTTCTAAATAACTGTGAAGGGATATTGTGAGTCGTGAAGGGATGCAGGATGTCCCCATCCACGCTGGGGAAGGCAGCCTCCAGCGCCACCGCTCCACATAAGAATATAATATAAGAATAAGCAGAGAACTGAGGCAGTCATTACTCCAGATGGACTCGCATTTATTTTCCCGCTTGCATGCGTTTTTATTCTCTGTGAAACAAATTGCTAAGACAAGTACACATCACATATCCTAGGTTTTTTTAGTTTTCTGAAAGAGAAGTTGAACTGGTGAGTTTTGTAGTTTCTCAGCAAAAGAGTGAGTCACCAGTTCAATAAAGCAGGACTGCCTGGCTGCTAAGTAAAATTATAGTCTCTATGTGAATATGTTTTTTGCTGGGGTAACAGCAGCACATGAATTAAAAATTACCACGACGTTACTAAGCAAAGGATTTCAAAATCCATCGCACTTGGAAATATATTACACAACCAGAGGTAATAACAAAATATATTACACAACCAGAGGTAATAACAAAATTCTCAGCTGGAAGGTCCTACATAAAGGCCATCTTTATTAGTTGTCTTACAGCAGTAATAGGGGCTTTAAAATACATATTTGGGACATTCATTTCATATTATAGTGGTTGACATACTTGGCTACTCTCCCTTTAATTTCTATCACCAGCAAGTTCCCAGAGGTCCACTGGAAGACCAAACACTTGCAAAATTTTACCCAGAAAAAATACTGGCCTTTACACACAGGAAATGATAAAACATTTATTCTTCAACCCTTCTCTGACAATCTCTCCTTGCCTTATGGAAAAGAGTATTTTCTATTAAAAAAAAAAAGGGGTGGGGAATATTTTTCAGAAGGTCATTAATTTATAAGGCCAGAACATTTTGTAGAGTAAGTAAACTTCATGTGAGTGGTTTTGGTAGGAACACTTTATTTCAGTTAGCAAATGAGAAAAAGATGGATCCATAGCAGTTAGAAAGAAAATGCTGCTATACCGCCATGGTTCTCAACCCGGCAGTCAGGTCTGTCCAGGAGGTCACAGTCTACTTCTCCTACTGTGAAAGTTTGATGGGAGTACTGAGGAGAGGAAATCTTTTAATTTCCTCGCATGCAACGTCATCAAGTGTCATGCAATGTCATAAAATGAAAGATGTAACACAGCATGGACTCAATGACCCTGTTTGTTTATCCAGCAAGAGGTGAGTCAAGATTGGGTTGTTCTCTAAATAGCATGCTCACCAGCAAATGTAATCTCCCCCAATTAAATCTGCCTTTGTGAAAGAATACCACAGAATCATCCAGAGAAACAGAATTAGCATGAAAAAACCTCCCACATTTAACATAACATAAGGTCAGTCACTAAAATTTTTGTCCTATGTCATCGGCTATTTGATGCCACATGTCAACATCATCAGAAGCATCTGAGGAACAGATCGGTGCCCTCTCTGAGCTGGCACACACCTCCCTGGCCCAAACCACTTGCACGATGAAAGAGTGGGATTTGGGAAATAAATACGGACATCGAGTTCCGCCGGGACTGGAAAGGTCCCACTACAGAGGAGTCCCACTGCAAATGCGATGAAAACACTTTTTGCATTGAACCTATTGCAACGTAGGAAAAGGTGGTACTGTCAATGTCTGTTGCTATACATCAGAAGTTTTCTTCCTTTAATTCTAGTTAAAAACACCCAATTTGAACAACCAGCTTAATCCTGGTACAGATATGATACAAGTGAGACACAGAAAAGCAATCTGCCGTGTTCTTTCACCAGTCTGTGTGTCATGCACGGAACCGGCGGTTGTACTCATAATATTGGGAGCTATTCAAAGCATTAACTGGAAAATGTAAACGAGAGGAACGAATGCTCACTTCAAGGAAGGAGGAGGCAGATAAGTTTTCAATATACAGTCAAACATGCATTGGTACAAAGTCAGCAAGTTCTAAATACCGTATTTTCAGTAGCTCCCTCCTCCTCATCCAGAAGTCATCATGTACTACCCTCCAGCTGCTGCGCTCAAAGCCATCGCTGGCTGCCTTGCAGCAGCTGCCAAAATAATCCTACCTGCACGTACAAATTTTGGTATCTTTTAGACTAAGTAGGCGTATATTAACACGACCTCCTGTCCCACCACAGCGTGCGGCGCAGACCCACAGAGCGGTGAGGGAGTTCATGTGCCTAGAAATGGAGACCTGTACCCTCCTCCAGCTATGCTCTCTGCTTTCTACTGGCCAGGGAGGACTGGAAAGTTGATAGGACCCTTCCCTTCCTTCTCCATCATTAATTTAAATGATTGCCTTTCTCATCTCCTTTTTCATTTCAAATGTCCCATTTTCCCTATTACTGCATTTTGAGAGCTGTGCCTTTTCAGGTGCTGTGGAGTCGAGAGCTCAGGAGGAATTTCTCTCATCATCAAGCCAAACTGGCAGAGGAACGTTCATTGCTTTTTATCTTTTTTTTTTCCTTTTTCCCTCCAAGGAAGGCACAGTCAAGACCAGGACACAGAGATTAATATCAGCAATTTGTAGGAACGTTCAGATCACTGCAGCTTGCAGCTGGCAGCCAGTTGGGATGAAAAGACTATATATCCCAGAGGCAAGAAAGAAAGTCTTTCGTGAACATATATTATGCCTACTGGAAAAGTTAAAACTCAGTTATTAAAAGAAATAAATATTACTAGCACAAGAAACAGTCAAATGTACACTTTCCAAACCTTTGTGATATCTATTAGCCTCCCATAATTCAGGCAAAGACGAGGTTAGAACTTAAGCTTTTGAGGCTATTAGATGGAGGAGAAGGGAAACAGAGTTTCTAATTTAAATTCTGAAATTCCACATTAGTGCTCTAGCTGCTGCAGGGATGCTGATGGTGGGGTTCCGTACTGCACCACTGGCTGTGCTGGCAGAATCCCTTCGTACTCATCGTCCTGACATCCATCTCCTCCTGTCTCTCTTGACCAGTCAAGCAAATACAAAGTATTAATTGATTTCATGGCTATTATACCACTCTGACCATAAATATTTAAGTTCAGCACATCAATAAATATTCTTTATTGTCTGACAGAAGTGGTCAAACCTGGGATTCTACCAGTTTAACCTCTACATGTTTCTCAAATTGCACAGGATAAGAAAATGAATATTAATGCCAGTGTGTTATATACCTCAGTAATAACAAATGTAAACTTTCCCAATCATTAGAAAAGGAAAGCGTTATTTTACAATACACTAAAGTACTCAAGTCCACTTTGGTAAATGTGGCACCATATTCCCCTGCATTTCTGTCTGGAGACTGTAGGCGTGAAGCCAACTGAGATGTCCCTGTATGGTCCTTCCAGTCACAACGTCATTTCCCAAACACTGATGAGAAGAGCTAATTCTCTCTGTTTGAGTGCCACGCGCTCGCAGGACTGCTTCTACTCTAGATACCTTCAACAGTTTACTTAGGTTTAGCTCATTTACCTCCACCCATCAGGGAATGGTACCACGCAAATGCATTCTCACTATAATCTATTGTAAATTTTAGCCCATGGAAACATGCTGAAATGCCCCTGCAAGCAAAACATGAACCTTACTTTGAAGTTTACCACAGACCTAGTTAGTAATTTGTCAGCACAATAATGTCTTCAGAAACTAAAAAAAAAAAAAAAAAAAAAAAAAAAAAAAAAAAAAAAAAAAAAAAAAAAAAAATCTGTTTGTAAGATAACAGAAAGACTACCTTCCTCCCAGTTACTGAACGTTTTGCTAAAAGGTTTATTTCTTTATATGAAATTTCCAAATAAAGTAAAATAAATCATTCCAGCACTGACCCATATTGAGCATTTTGGCACAGACAACACGTTCTTTGGTATTAACTGGCACAAGCCTATTGCCACAGAAAGGACACTTTTTAATTTGTAATGTTGGCTTCATTTATGTTTTGACAGGAGAAAAAGAAATACTGCTCTGGTTGTTCTGATATCCTGCTGCAAGCAACAGCAATTTGTGAAAAAACAAGGTTTTATACTACACAATATTTCACTCTGAAAAGCATGAATTAGCAACTGTAAAAAAACAAACTATTTTTCATTCCAATTTCACAGAGATGACAAAATTCACCTTAGACGCTAATTTACTTGTCCATGTATAAATCTCCCATATTCCAACAAACATTCAATTACAGCCAGAAATGTTCCAGCCAGAGCTGCCTCTTGCCCAGCACTCAGTGAAACACTGAGTATTTGGATCAAGATACAGCCTCTTGCATTGAATTTGCAGCCAAACAAATCAAGACTCTTGAAAGCTCAGTATGCACACCACCAGATTTTAATATTAATATATTTGAATAATTTCCAAATCACCACATGTGCTTGTTTTTAATGTTTTATACCTAAACTACTGAAATATAAATCATATCCAGACTAAAAATCTTAACTCTAAGCTTGTATTTATCACAGGGCTTTAAAGCAGAGCTGTGTTTCTCATGAACAAATTTTCATTTTAGAGACACTGAAAGTTAGGTTTGTGTTTGAATGTAATTTTCAGTGGCTTGAATGCAGCACAGGTATCACCAAGTCACAGAAAACTCAGGTCAAATTATGTATTTATTACGTCAACTCCATTCAAGCCCTAATCTTGTAGCTTAGTTGACGCTTTCAGTGACTGGAGCTTTCCTGAGATCACAAGCAGTAACTCTTGACACTTGTGTACCATTTGTAAGACATGGCCTGGAAAAGACTAAAGTAGTTTTGCAGAGAGGTCAGCAAAAAGCTTCAAGACCTCTTGAGTCCCTTCCCAAAAAATCAATGAGTGGTTTGTGATTTCCTGAAAATGTCAAACAATTCTTTAAATATAATGTATTAGGCCAGCTGGGTGAACTTATGGAGAAATACGTTAAAGAAGCTATGTTTGCTCCCAATAAAATGTTTGCTGACACATCAACACCACCCATGAACTCTCTATGACTGCACAAATTGAAGCACAAAGTTTAATAACATTTCCAGGCTACAATCCAAAATCACAAGGTGACGATCCAGCTTTTTTAGTCTTTTGCTAGTACGAACAAAATCTGAAGCACTGATCTCAGAAAAAGTTAGGTTTTCAATCAACCAGGTATTTTTTAAGGTACTGAAGTCTTATTGATAATATTGTATTAATTCACAAAGTTATTCCACGTACCTGCAGAAGTATAAATGGCACCATCCACAGCGTATCCAGAGTTACAGCTATCCAAACTTGGTGGTGCGAAATTTGCGTTGGGACAATTTTAATTTCAGAGACTAAAAGGTTCTTGAAATGGCAAATACTTACCTCTGGTGCAATGTAGTCTGGAGTGCCACAGAAGGTCCTGGTTGTTACTCCATCTAACATATGTTCTTTGCACATTCCAAAATCAGCAATTTTAATGTGTCCTTCCGAATCCAACATCACATTATCTAATTTCAGATCTCTATGAAGAATCACAGTAATTTAATGTTGATGTTTAGGATCAAGTAGGGCAAACTTATCTACTCTTGAGTCTAGGTGAGGAATATGTGTAGCTGTCTGGGGGCGGAGGGGAGGGGTGCGGGTGCACGTGCACGGCAGTCTACAGTCCGGCCGGAGCCAGGCACCTCACTGCAGATCCGTAAGAACAACCATGAGCCCTGAAACCGGACAATTAGTGAAGAGACAAGATGTGTATGACTATGAGCACGCTCACCCGGAGACTTCTGAACGTGCAGAACAGTGGAAGATCATACAGGAATGCACAAGATCATGTTTTACATTTTCAAGTTGAGTTTGGCAGAGCAAAGATGTCAGAAGAGCTCAGGTAAAGCAGCGGCTTTGGTTACAGCGCACCAGCAAAACAAACAAAACACTACAGTGATTGCTTTTTATAAAGTATTTTAAAAATGCCCTCAAAAGTTAAAGAAATTGATCCTTTCAGGATATTAAAAATGGGTCAGATTATACTCACCTATAAATAATCCCTCTATTATGGAGAAAGAATAACCCAACTGAGATCTCAGCTGCATAGAACCTGTATGAAAAAAACCCAACAGATTTCTTACTGTCTCATGATTTCCTTTGGACGAAATATTTTGGAAATGCATCATAGTGAAGAATGACAGTATAACAGTATAGAAAGTATATAATATATAGTACATATATATTAAAGTATTAAAAATACACATTGCAGGCAGATGACATTCTTACTTCAATTTGACTCTGACACATTCCGAGTATTTGATGATAAAATAACGCAGAACTTTAAAAAGAAATGACAATGTCTCCCTAGACCACAAAGAAATGGCACAGCTGGAGCACAGCATTTTACTGCACTGATCTGAATCTGCCTGCAAAGGTCATTCTCTCTAACCTCAAATCAATGCTGAATTCAGGATGCAGCTCAACTTACAGTGAAATTCATACGGCATAAAATAATTTGCAGAAACAGTATTCCTTTATACAGGCTGTTAATGGATTAATTACATAAAGCTAATTAAAACGACTACCATATAATTGCTGAATGTAGTTAAAGGATATATAATATTGATAGATGTTTGAAGCCAGTTGCTGTGGAACTGTGTAAATTATATGCAAGAGGATTACTTGAAGGTTAGATTAATTTTTAGGCTAGCATAAGGGAAAGGAAAGCTTAGCTCTGAAACGCTTGATCAGAAGTGTTTGTGAACGCGCGTGCTGGAAGATGCTCCACATGCGCAAGCTGCCGTAAAGCACCATCGTTTGCAACGAGTGTTGGCAAGTTACACTAGCTGGGAGTCAAGGATGATCTGACACCATCTAGCTTTTATTTGGTGAGTTGTTGAAATTTTATTGTGTATCTCAAACACTTATATTTAGAAGGCCTCTCATTTAAACAAGCCCTGATTATTTAAATTGAAATGAGAAATTATTTTAGCTGAATTCTTAAAACAGTTGGTCACACTTTATTTTAAAGTTTAACTGGTAAATGATTTATGAAACTAATAAATGATGATGAGATGTTATAAGCGTGACTAAGACGGTACTGATGGATCAATTCACATTTGAATATGCTACGGATCAGCATCAGTTGCTCACTGCTATGCCAGATGCACAATTACCCAAAAGGGCTCATGCATATAAACAACTTCTAATCATTTATTAACTCCTCACAAATAACACTTCTATAAAAATGCAGGATCACAGAAATTCTTATAAGCTATACATTGAATTTATCGTGTATAAACTGTAATTTATATTGCGATGCTGAGTCTATTTGTATTGCCTTTCCCTGTAACAGTAATTCAGACTGAAATGTTCTACTCGCCTTTTTTTTTATATTCGCTTTTAAAAACAACACCAGAATACCAAGTAACAACTTTAATTTCCTGTTGCCTTGTTTAAATTCTTGTCACTTTTAAAGCAGGCATTGCTTGCCTTTGTTTGTGCTGTATTTTTGACTCCAAAGGCACAGTTACCTTTGGTCTATGTGTGCAAACAATATTTTCAAAATAAATTTTGGATTTTCAGCCTTAAAAAACACAACTGAAAAAGGCCAGCTAAAGACTTCATACTGAACCTGAAGAAGAAGAAATCTAATCGTCTTACAGTGTAAAATTAATATGATGACATGATTTAAATATATAAACATGAACACTCACACTGCTTGTGGCTCCTTAAATTTTCCTACTTGCTGAATGTGATACATGAGATCACCACCATTCACATACTCCATAACAAAATACAGACGGTCCTAGGATAAAGCATTAAAGACACACATAAATACATTAGAGAAAATATTAGATATGCACTGATCAGCAAAAAAGTCACTAATATGTTATTATAAAGCTTTTAAGATTATTAGGACTGGTTGTACATTCTGGCAAAATTGACTGATCAGGAAATGGAAGTGGAATGTTTTGTAAAACCTGCAAGAGTAGGTGACTGATGAGATCTGGCTAGATTTGCCAATTTATTCATGCATTTTTATATATTATTTGTCTGCAAATGTTCCCATAATTGTTCACAAATAGCTCTGTCTGAAAAATCTGTCTCTCTCAAAATAAATATTAAGAAAAATTTAAAAAGGGTTGAAAATTCTTGCTTTCAGCCATTTCTAATCCTTCCTAATAAGTTTTCCTTTGGGAGAAGGGAGGTATTAAGAAATGTATTGTTTTGATTATTAAACAGGCGCTAGAAGAAAAGCAGTTGTAGGGTTTACCAAAGTATCTAGAACGCTTACAAGTGACACCTAATTAATTTCTCGTAGACACATATTTCAGCTAGAGGAAGATGGCAACAAGGTATTTTGGAGGGAGATTTTGCTTGCACAGAGAGGACTTTTAAAAGCCATAGCCAGGTACCTCAAATCAAACATAACCGTAATGTATTTAAGTGCACTTAAGTAGTATTTTCCCATCCAGTGTTCTTCAGACGATAAGACTTAAAACAGTAGGTCTGTCCCCCAGTTTTCAGAGCACTAAAACTCAGCTCTTCCAAGTGACTTCAGTAAGAATACATGGTTTACACTCTACAAACACCTTCTATTTAGGGTGGATGATTTTGACCACCTAACATCAAAAATTCTGGTGGGCAACATTATGGCAAGCTTACTATCTGCAGTTATAACATGACCCAGACAGCATATAAGATGCATTAATAGTCTTCCTCCAGTCATGGAAGACGTATTTTTCGCTTCCTCTGATTTTCCTTTAGTTATTTCTGACAGAATCATTATCCTGAAGTATTTGCAGAAAAGTTCTGATCCAATATTCCGATGGGAAAGAGACTCGTTACTAAGATGCTCTAGTTCAATCTCTTTCGTTCAGAATTAATCGAAAAAGAAAGTCTCCAACTGTCCAGTAACTAAGATTTTGGAACATTAACACAGATTTAAAAGCTGCGATTTCCTAAGCTGGGTCCAACAGACAAGCCAAGTTCAATTGGCTAGATTAGATTTATAAAATTTAGATTTTTGTATGCATCGTCTTATTGTAGAATCCATGGCAACAGACGCCAGCAGCTAAAAGCACTAACAAAAAACAATCAGTTTTTCCTATGGTCACACAGTTTATGCCTTTTCTTTTCCGTAATATACAATTTCTCATTTTTGTGGCTAATATTAATCCTCCAGAATATTTCATAGCAACAACTGCAAGCCACTCAACTCTTAGGAAAACATTAAGCAAATTAGGCAAAGGTGTTAATGATTTATCCAGGCCCTTATGAAGCTCCATTGCTCTTGTACGCTGTAAAACAAACGAAAAAATATACTGTAAATACTGAAACCCCCAACTTCTTTCCTCCATTCCCCTTAGCCAGAAAACACTACACATTTGTACTTCTAAGATTTTACATTTAAAATGTAGTTGCTCAAAAGAAAGATAAGATTAAACAGTGATTTTTCATTTACTGATGACACTAAGCTTCTTAGTTACTAATGAAGTTATACAAAGATAAAGAATTGGAGAGAGATAGAAGTCTGTTTCTCACTAGGACCTCTCTTATTACAACCATCTTCTTGTAAGTAGAGGCAGGAAAAATAGTATTTTAGAAAGCAAGAATTGCCAAGTGCAATGGTTCCCAGATTTAACATTTTATTGTGATTAATTATGTTTGCAAATCTGTTGCGTTCAGGCCATTTTCTGCTCAGAGATTTGTAGACATTAAACAGAGTTTGAAAATGCCTCTAAACCCACAGACAATTATGCTATGAAACCATGCTGCGATGACGTGGCTTGTTTGGGGAATATTACAATGCTGTTATGTCAAACTAACTGCCTGTTGTTTGCTCATTTGTTTTTAGGTTAAAAGCCATCAACAATGTAAGAGGTAAAAGATAGGGAACAGTCAAGTGGAAAAACAACAACATGTGTCCTTTAATCGCCCCATTAAGCGGCAACCCAGCCCTGGGGCACTAGGCCAAGGCCATTGTCATAAGATGACTACAAGGTGAGGCGAGAAGAGCCTTGATCTCTTGTGAATGAAGACTTCTACCTCACTTGGAACATGTGGAGCCCGTTCACTGGTGTCAGGGTGTATCCATGCACGCTCCGAAAACCATAAGCACACTGAGCGCCAACTGTCTGCCACACAGCTTTCCAGGTCACCCAACCGAGCGGTATGGTGCCGCTGGATGGTCAGATCCATAGAATCAGAGAATCCATCCTGCAGCCATTCTCTGGGAGATGTTTTGCAACGTGATGCGGAAATGTCCACTTCACATATTTATAGGTATGGAAGAAAAAACCCCAATGCTTTCCTCTGTGCCACGAGTGCCAGAAAGCTAAATTAAATCCATCAAACACGGATTCATGACACATCACCTGACGATATAACAGCCATGAAGATTTTTCACGTACTATCCTCAGATCCTTAAAAGTATTTAGAAATCTTTGGTAATCTGGGCTTAAGGCTCTGGCTTAGCAAAGCACACATTATTAAATTTATGAATTGTCACACCAGTATGCTTGAATTACTGTATGAAGAAAAATCTTTAAACCTAGGTTTTACGTTTAAAATACAAGGGGTAACTACATGGGCTATCTCTTTCTTCAGTATTTCCTATGTGCAGAAGCTATGATAAATAGTTTGGATAATAATAAATGTTATTGAGCTGATAAAATCCACGATCGTACAGTACGGAAAACATCAGGGGGGCAAGAAAGACAGAGCTCACATACAACTGTTTGGAAACAAGAGTGAAGCTGTGTCAGGAACGGTGGTTTATCTTGCAACGCCAGGACTCGTTTTTCAACCATCGTGCATTCAACATCATCGTCCTGAATCACCACATCTTTTTTCAGTATCTTGATTGCATAGAGCTCCTCTGTCCCCTTCCTGTCTGCCAGCATCACCTGCACAAAGGGAAACAACAGGGTGAAAAATCTTCCTACCTGCCAAGGAGGGAAGGTGACTCATATGCCTGAAGAATTGTATAGATGGCAATCCAGCTTTTCCTTTTATTGGTGTAGACTAACTTGATCAAAACTCCAAAAATATCACCATTACTCACCCGCTGCAATGAGCTGTACCAGCCATTTCAGACAAGCCTGTGCCAAAACCCTCCGGTTGATAGCAGGCACATTGCCGAAGAGCTGATAAAATGTTAAGCCCCAGGGGACTTCGGTAAAGGGCACTTTGTCACATAAGTGGTTGTTCAAACAAACAGAAATATAGCAGTCCTTTCTTTTGACTAACAGATTTCAAATATGTATGTACTATTCGTGTTTTTTTCCCAATATTCAGCCTTACCAATGTTGGTGACTTCCAGAACTGGCAGAGTGACCTAGGTAGTAAAGCCAGAAAAGTAGACTTAATTTCTTTGAAATTGCCTAGAAGTGAGGATCTAAAAGTCAGCTTCTTACATCCTGCCTAACAGTCTGAAGGCATTTTTTATTTTTATTTTTTTCAAGAAAACTGCCAATCATGACTGAAGCCTGCTAGTCCTTAGGGAATCGCCCTACAGCATGGTAAGAAATCCTCCCTCAAAAATGCACATCCATTAAGACTCTGGATTTAACCGCTTAGAGAATTACTCACTCATTGTTCCTCAAGAACAAAAAAAGAAAGAAAGAAAAAAAAGAATGCAAGTGGAATAGTTATCAAGAATTCCTACCTTCCCAAAGCTCCCCTTTCCAAGAACCATGAGAAAGTTGAAATCTGTCAGCTTCACCCTGTCCAGATTGTTGGATGGCACACTTGAGCTCTTGTCTTCTGTTGGAGTAATGACTTTGTTACCAGCTGGCCCAAGTTTGGCTTTCTGAAGAACATACACACACATACACACAAAAAAACAGGGAAGTAAGAAGAGTAGCCCGTTTTCTTGGCAGCATGGATCACTGGGTGAAGGTTAGAATTAGAGATGACCGTATTTGAGGCGGCATTCTCAGGAGAAAGGTCGCATAAAATTTGCACAGACACAACTTCAAAGACTCGTTCCAACAATACTTTTGACATTACTGAGTGAATTAAAGTGGAAAACTGTGTTCATGTATAACCAGATAAAAGCAGATATCTGGTTAGAAGAGCGAAACCAAAGCAAAAACCAAAGCCAAAGAAAAAAAAAAATCACTTATTTTCATGCCAAAAGCAGGCTTACCTAGTGGTTTTGTTTTGAAATACAAAAAATGCTTTTCAAAAATATCATGCTATAATCTACGTAGGGTATTTTAGGATGTAAACAGTCTCTTCAATACATTCTCTTTTAAAATGTAATTCTTAAAGTCACTGCATAGCAAGAGTTAGGAAATCTTTGACATGCATTAAGAAAAATAACCTACATTAAAAAAAAACAACACATGAGAATTAATGCAGATGAACATGGCCACTTTCAAACTAGCAATACAATCAACTTTTATTTTCAATCAAGTGTTGATCTGGAAAAGCGAGGAAGGGAAATATTACATACAAAGGCTCTGCCTTGGCAAGACAGTCTGGTTTGCAGAAGGTTGCAACAGTCTCAGTATTTCATACGAGACACCGTGTAATTGCTCAAGTAAGTTGCATTTCAAATCTCAAAGTTAATAGAAGAGAAAAAAGTAAGACTCACCTAAAGATAATGCAGGCTACAACATAATATCCCTCTTTTTCTCAAAATAATCCCATATACCAGCAGAAGCAAAGCCAAGGTTTAATAATACTTTGGGATATAAATGCTTTCCCCCAGCTATATAGTGTGTTGGTCTGGTAACCTCTCACATGGTTAATTTACTTTGTGCCATTGACATATGCCTGACATTTAAGGATAACTACGTTTCTCACTGCAGTGTAAAAGGGTAGTATTTGTATATTACCGCTGTTTTAGAGATAAAGAAAATTATAGAAAGTAAAGTTTATTCAGTCACACAATAAATCACCTTAAAAGCCTGGCCTGGCATATACCTTGGGCAGCCTCACTGGAAACTGGAAGATACAAACTTTCCCCTCCCCAGACGAGTTTAAAACCATAAGATTGAAAAGGGACGACTCGATTCATGGACGCCAGCGCTCTACTTCTGCAGGCAGCCATGTGACGTAAACCTCTGATAAAATAACCGCATGTCACTTGCAAAGCACACTCAGATCGGATGGCTCTTCCTGCAACTTTATCAACACAGACAGTCTTATACCCTGCCACAGGGATATGAATTTTGGCAGTTTTGATCTCTTTTCTTTTTATTGTAATACAGCTTAAAACGTGGAATTTCTTCCACCACTACTACTACTCGCCTGCATGAAAGCAGCACTTGCAGAGGCGAATCGGGATCATGTGCTGTGCAAACGCTTAGGAAGAGCCAGTCCCGGGCGTCAGCCTAAGTCCCTGAGTCTGCAAGGGATGGCCCTCGGCAGATCCCGCTGCTGGGACAAATCCAGCGTCTGTAATGGAGCTCTTTGTTGGGACAAAGCTCCTTTCAAGGCCACAAAACAAGACTGAGCAATAAGCAAAACAAGTTAAAAAAAAAGAAATCCTAATATCCTTTATTTGTACAGGATGAAGAAATGGTTTAAAGGAGCAGCTTTGCTGGCCATGTCTTTGTGACGCTCTCACATGTGGGATCTCAGATAAAAGATCCTGCTCTTGTGATACAAGAAGCAATTTCAATATCCGCCTTTTCACCAAGTAAGGGAGATCCAAATCAGGCACTGAATGGAAAACACTAGCTTTATTTCTTATACTCTGAACTCAGTGGGTAGGTTGTCAGTAGCCTGTTTGGAAAATGCTTCATTCGAAACGACAAATTAAATTTTATTCAAAAGCAGTTTGTTTCTTTGAGTACAAACCTGCTGTTTTGGCAGGGAGAGCTTTCTACAGTGCTGAAACCCAGGCTCGGGGGCTAACTGTGCTTTTTCAAAAAAAAAAAAAAAAAAAAAAAAAAAAAAAGAAGAAAAAAAGAAAAAAAGAGCAGCAGAGTCATCAGCAGGTCCCGTGCCCTCTGCCAGCTTGCCGAAAGCCACACTCGGGCGAGACTCAATGGTCAGGATCTGAAGGCAGCATCTTAAAATGTTAGAATAAAATAAAAAAATATTAGGGAACCAAGCCAAGGCCTCTCTGCATCCTCGCAAGAAAATGTTTACACCCGATGAACCAGAGACACGCTCCTCTACCTCCTTTTTTAATCTTTTTGTAGATTAGCTGTCGCTCTCAATTTGATAATCTTTTTTCGTAGGGTAATTTTTAAGGAGAACGTCAGGCGTCTCCCATTCGGTCAGGTGGGTGCCTGGGCCACCGGCTCCAAGTGGACGCCCAATGCGGGAGCTTATCGGTCTGCACCTCAGCGGGGAGTGATCCGTGCTGACGCGGCGCTGACAGACCCGGTTGCCTCATCACTCGCGCTGAGCTGTCTCGGTGTGTTAGCCCGGACACGGGTACGTGTAAACAGAGAACCCCGCTGCAAACCGTATGTAAGAAAACGTAGGAACATTGCATCCACACAATGCTGAAGAAGGACCAGGCTGACTCAGGAAAGCACACGGACCCAAGCGGAATGGCCTAATGACCAATTAAATTAGCATAACCTTATCAAAGGTCCATATTTCCCTGCAGCTGGGCCACTGACCATTTGTTCATGAGAATGATGAAGCAAGTCTTTCACATTTAGCACGCAAATTTCTTTTACTGCTTTTTGTCTTAAGGTCCTAGAGAAAATATAGTGGGAATTTCAAAGCTGGCAAACATGTACTGGGAAGAAAAAAAAGGAAACAATAACAGTCCAAAACACAACATTTCACAGATGATCCATTAAGTGCTTCCCAAAATGCTACTGCAACATGTTTCAATTATGACTTGGCCTCAGGCATATCATTTTGTCATCTTCTTATAGTACTATTGAAAAAAATTTCCAGAGCTACAAGAACAAAATTAGGCTACGGGCATGGAAATAAAATTAGATGAACGTGGTCAAGCCATTACAGACTCTACCTGTGCCACCAAGTTTTTGGTGGGACAGTAAGACCTCTTTATGAACTAAACCCTGAAGGATCTAGTACTTATTACCTGCCTTTGAGAACTAGCTGCTGTGTATATTCCATGTTATGCAATTCATCCTGAAGTACAAACCTAAACCAAAACATCTCTTATAAACTTCATGGAAGTTTCTACACTCAACAGAAATGTCACAGCTCATCATAAATAACTGGTGCTGATGAATTTAAGGAAAGCCTTTAACCTTGCCTTAACTTGACCCGGATACGGGGCAAGACAAAAGTATTTCAGAAACTCCATTAATGTTTTCTGGTTATGACTAAAGGACCAGGAAAACATCTTCAAGCATCAAAACTGCTTTACATTAAACTACAGAAAATCTACGAAGTGAATAGATGTTGTGCCTTATTGCAAACAGTGGGTGAAGATACAGGGAAACAAGCATTTGCTTACAAGATTTACCGAAGGTTTTGGGAAAACACATCCAAAACATGCTGGGCTCAGCGTGCATGTGGAGAAGACCGCATCCACCCATGTGCTGTGGCCATTTCTGCAGGGTTTCCAGCATCTGAGCAGGCCTTCATCTCACTCCCCGGTTGAACAGTAAGTTGGCTGCGCCCACCGGAGTTGTGAGCAAACTCACAAACTTTCTTCATATACAGCAGTGATGATTTCTTGCTATGACCCACATGGGAAATAACTTGCTGAACACATATTTTGCTAGAAAAAAAACTTTTGCTCAGCTTTTTGAATACTTCAACATGCCAGATGTTTTTTCACATAAGGAACAATTTATATATGATTTCAGATACTTCAGATAGGGAACTACAAACCAAACTGCTGTTAAAATACACTTAAGGAGAGGAGCACAATAAAAATGAACATACAAGAGAAAACGTTATGTTACTGATGCACTGCCCATGATGAATAGCTTTACTGTTTATTAGAAGGGAAGAAAATCTGTTTGAGGCTTATGCTCTGTTAAGGCCAACTTAAGCACTAAAAATAGGACAAGATACTGGATGGAAGTGATTTCCAGAGCTCCTAGGAATGCTGTTTCAACAACACGATTAACCACAGAGGAATAAAGAGACCCAGGGCTCTCTTAGATAGACAAACTGTGTGTAAGCAGAGCAATTGGTGATGTGGAGTGTTACAGACACAAAACTGAAGAGCAGGGCGCTGGACCTGAGGCACACCCACAGGTCAAGGCCCCCTGATGCGATATCGCAGCCAGAGGTCTTGTTCCCTAAAGCTGATGCTCTGAAATGGGTGTTCAGGTCTTTCTGGATCTTGCACAGACCCATCATTTTTCTCTTCAAGCTCTGGCCGTACAAACAGCCCAAGAAATGTACTTTCTCAGGTGTTCATCTAAACAAACTCAGTTTCTTGAAGAGAGGCAGGTTTTCTTATGGTTGGGTATGGGTAGCAAAAAAGGAATAGTACTAGACAGAGAGGTAGATGTGAAAGGAGGAAGAGCTAACCAGAATCACAGCCTACTGGTTGCTGTCTTAGGGGAAAGCGTATTTCATAAAAAGCAGTTCTAATAGATTTACTTAAAATGTTCCACATTATTTTGGGACCTACTCATCCTTATAGCATTACAAATACCATAGTTTAAACCATTTTACTGGTTTTATACATTAGGGTTCTTTTTTTCACAATAGCAGGAATGTCTCAGCTTGCTTAAAATTGTCCACAAACTCTTTTACCATGAAGAACTCCTTTTATTCAGATTAGTTTAATGTAGGGTCCAATGGCTGGTAATACTTATAAATCTTCTTTTACCAGTTGTAGAGGCAGAGCACAAAAATGGGTATTCTAATTTCTGTGTACCCACAGCCAGCTACAGTGTTTGT